ATATATTTTGAGATAACATCAGTGAACAAAAGAAACAAAAATCCCTGTGTACAGGGAACTTACATTATATTCTAGTGGAGACCAGGGCAAAGGTGTGGGTGGGAAGGTGGAGTGGGCAGACAATAAACAACCAACAACTTAAGTAAGTGAATTAAATAGGGAGTCTCATTAAATGGTGAGATTTTTGCAAAGACTTGACACAAGTAATTGAGTTACCAAGTGGATAGCTTGGGGGAAATCATTCCACATGAGGACAGTCTGGTATGTCTGAGGAATAGCAAGAAGCCAGAGTGGAGAAGGGAGCATAGTAGGAGAGGAGAGGGGAGCAGAGAGGCAATAGCCTTGGTGGAGGGTACTGATCATGTGGAGCTGTGTAGGATATTACAAGTCTTTTTCTCTAAAAGAAATGGGGGTCAGGCAGGGAGTTAAACAGTAAGCAGATGGTACGCATCAATTATGATAATTTGAAGCTTACAATGGATTATTTACAAAGATATGGGTGAAGGGGAATCATGGGAAATAATGTAGAAATTGAGGGCTTAGCACTCCTATGTTCTACGGGGTAAGTGGAGGAAGAAGTAACTGGAACCTTAAAAGGAGAATGATTTAAGGGTTGGCTGGCTTTAGAGGTGACCTTTGGTCTGTGGGAGGCTACCTTTAGGGAGGCAGCCAGGAGTGTAAATATTCTGACCTCAATCTTTTCTGTCTCTAGCCTCCTGCCTGGACTCACCATTGGTCAAACAGTCAACAGCTAGATGATATAGGAACCAAATGATCTAGTTCATATGAGTCAACATCCAGAGGGGCACCTCTAATCAAATGTATCTATATGTCCTTTGTTGTGACTAGTCTTCTGCCTCTCCTCAAACTTCAAAATCCTCCATAGTTTAGTGTTATTACTAAGATTGCATATATTCTGAAATTTCCTTCTCTGAAATTTCCTTTATTTTCTTTCTAATCAAAACCCAACTCTTTGCTAAGGAAGCACACTACCCATACACTTCAAGCAGTGGATTTTTCTGTCTTACTTCTCTTGTATGAGGTAATTAGCCTCCTCATTGCTACTTCTAGACTGTGTATCATTCAATGCTATTTGAGAAATCACCCCAAAATTGAATGCCTTAAAGCCACATACTTTTTTTTTTTTTTTTTTTTAATTTCTCAGTTTCTGTTGGTCAAGAATTTGGGAGTAACTTGAATATGGGTTTCTTGTGGAGTGTATTTTCCAGAAATACTCTTGCACTTTCTTTTTTTTTTTTTTTTTTATCCTCACCCGAGGACATTTTTCCATTTTTTGTTCAGATAGAGTGGGAGGGAGAGAGAGAGAGAGAGAAACATCGACGTGAAAGGGACACATTGAGTGGTTGCCACCCACACGACCCAACCAGGGCTGGGGACAAACTGCAACCAAGGTACATGCCCTTAGCAGGAACCGAACCCGGGTCTCTCTGGACCGCAGGCCGACGTTCTAACCGCTGAGCCAAACCAGCCAGGGCCTCTTGCACTTTCAATCTAACATTAAGTAGGAATCTTTTTCAGTCAAAGTTTTCTTTAGATTATCACCGAGGTAGGATTATTCTACCTTTCTCAGGTACGTAGACATGCTTTTTTTCCTGGCAGCATAAGAACGCAGAGCAGTGATGGTACATGAATCAAATCTTTCATTACAAACCCACTGTATGTTTTTAAAGTGGGATTCTCTTCACATTTTTGCAGTAAGTTGACTTTCATCTCCTCTTTCCCAGTGTTAGAAGTCATTTTTTATGTATTTGGTTGGGATATTACAAGTTAGGAAATTGCTGGTTAATTATCATTTTAAATTATAACATATTCTGGTATTTTGTTTTTGGAGATTAACTGTATCCTGTTGGGAGCCCAGTTTGTTTCTTCGTTTTTTCTTTCATTAAATCTTCCCCCGATCTCATGGCTTTACTTCCTCATTTAACTGTCTGCTCAAATATCACATCCTGAAAGAAGACTTCTGTATTAATTAGGGCAGAACTATTCAACTACTGTACTATGGATGCTTTTGGGGTGCTCCTGAGATACAGATTCCTGCCGGGGTTTTGCCTCAGCACAGTCATCTTATTCTGTTTATTCCAGTTTGACATGCAAATTGTGCCTTATTCTGAGAGTGCTGAGCCATAAAAAGTTTGGAAAGCATTAAATTAAGACAAACATTTAGATGTGAAATGGTTCAGACTCAAAGTAAAAGTGGCAGAAGGACATTTCTCTTTCAATCCAGAGGTAGACGATTAGAGCTGGTCTGGGAGATCTGTACCAGGAAGTCTTCCAAGAACCCAGAATCATTCCCTTTTGTTGTTCCACCATGTGCTGCTCTTGTTTACAGTGGTCATAGGTGGCTTGCAACCTTGACCAAAGGAGAGATGAAGGGGCATGGAAAGTGTGCACACCCCCCACCCTCTGAGCATATGACCTAGAATTTGCACACATCATTTCTGCCCACATTCATTTCACCAAAACTTAGTCTTGTAGCTATCCTAATGGCTGCATGGGAGTCTGGGAATTACAGTCTTTAATTTGAACAGGTGAAATCCCAGCTAAAAATTGAGTGCTATATTATTACAAAGAACAAGGAGAGAATGGATGGAGAAGAGGAAGAACTAGCTGTTTTATTGGTTAGCACTTTTCCTAAACACTCTGACTAAATAGCACAACCCATCTCTGTAATTTTTTACCCTTTACAGTCAGACCTAGGTTTCTCGTTAGTTGTAAGAAGAAAATTAAACTTTGTGTGGTAGCCCTTTTGTTTAGAAATAAACGTGTCCCAGTTAAATCATAAAACCTTCAGTAAAAGTCAAGCCACTCCTTCGAGTCGTTTTGGAAATAGAGGAAGTGGTCCAGGTTCCAAGGACCTGGATCGCTTCAAAGGGTTCCATGAGTCCTGTGCAGCTGGAAGTGAAATTGTTTACGTAGCTTGGTGGTTAAGAGCATGGCCTTGGAAATCAGACTGCCTGGATTGAAATCCAAGCTGTGCCATGTGCTAGATTTGCAGCTTCGGCAAGCAATTCACTTAATTTGTCTGTGCTTAGTTTCCCTATCTGAAACATGGGAATCATAGTATACCTGCTTCACAGAATTGCTGTGCGGACAGGTAATACATTTAAACCACTTACATCAGTGCTAATAATATTAAATGCTGTGTAAATAGTAGCATTGTTGTTATTATTTCTATTCCCAGGAGGTCCATATCTTCCATCTGATTATTAGTAGGATCTATTCTAAATCTTAATTTAATACCTGAAAGAAACCATTTCAAAGGCTTATGATCTCCATGAAATTTAAACTTCCTCTATTTTAATCTAAAGTCATCTGATCCTCTATAGCACAAAAGTTTATTTAGTGGAATTCACCTCAGTACTTTTTTAGAGTGTTCTTGTTTTCAAGTTTTTAGTTCCATTTTACTTTTTAACTCAATAAAAAAATGTTATTTATCATAATTTTTTTAATTGTCACAGTTTTGATAAAATGTAATCTCTTATTTTCCATGCTTTAATTTAAAATAGAAATTGGGTCCTGCCCCATTTGGCTCAGTGGTTAGAGTGTCGGCCTGCGGACAGGAGAGTCCCAGGTTCGGTTCTCGCTAAGGGCATGTACGTCGGTTGCGGTTTGTTGCTGGCCCCAGTTGGGGTCGTGTGGGTGGCGACCACTCGATGTGTCTTTCTCACATCGATGTTTCTCTCTCTCTTCCTCCCTCTGTCCCTCCCCTTCTATCTGAAGATAAGTGCAAAAATGTCCTCGGGTGAGAATAAAAAAAAATAGTAATAAAAATAAAAAATAGCCCTGGCTGGTTTGGCTCAGCGGTTAGAGCATCGGCCTGCGTTCTAGAGAGACCCGGGTTCGGTTCCCGTTAAGGGCACGTACCTTGGTTGCAGTTTGTCCCCTGTCTCGGTAGGGGTTGTGTGGGTGGCGACCAGTCAATGTGTCTCTCTGGCATCGATGTTTCTCTCTCTCTCTCTCTCTCTTCCTCCCTCTCACCCTCCTGCTCTATCTAAAATGGAAAAATGTCCTTGGGTGAGGATACAAAAAATAAATAAATAAAAATAAAAAAATAAAATAAAATAGCAATTGGTTTGCTTTCCTTTTCAGAAACTAGGGAACAGACTGACAAACCTCAGAGGGAAGGGGGATAGGGAGAGGGAAGAGAGAAACCGAAGAACTTACGTACATATATGTACGACCAAGGACACAGACAACAGTGTGGTGAAAGGGGGTGTGGGGAAGGAGGTCAACTGAGAAAAAAGGAGGGACATCTGTAATACTTTCAACAATAAAGGTAAACGTTTTAAAAACTCTGTAATTAATAGTTCCACGTGAGACATTTAACACCATCAAGTTGCATATGTAACTATGTCAGTGGGGCAGCTGACGTGATGAAGCAGTGAATGTTGATTTTTGTTATTGTTACTTGAACTGTAAATGCAATTGAGCCAAATTGAATCACAGTTGAAAATATTACAGCGTCTTAATATAACAGGGGGAGGGGAACCTATACAGCTGTTCTTTTTTGAAGTGAACAGTGGCTGAAAAAAAAAATTGATGTTTCAACATTGTTAGGAGGAGTTAATATTGTTCTATAATAAACTGCCAAATGTCATATTTGAGAAATCATTTTTCTAGAAAGCCAGGTCAGCAATAAATGCCCAGTATCTCATTACTTATCTTCTATATACTGAACATGAAAAGTATTTTTATTTTAAACTGCTTTTGCTAAATCTTAGAGAAATAATTTTGGCGAGTTGGTTGGTTTCAGATTGTTGGAGCTCAAACACCAACAGCTGTTATTGAGAAAATACCATTTTTACAACATTAATATGCTTTCAATTAACTAACTGGAATGAACTGTTAAACATTACCACTTCCAAGTTGAACTACTGTTTGACTCTCTCAGTGACTGATTGCTTTCTCAATAGATTATTTACTTTAACTGAAAGAGGAAGAATTTTATTTAAGTAATCCATATTTTTCCCCATCTGCAGAATGTACCGAAGAAAAGTGGGGATTTCCAATGTGCCACTATTTAAAGGAAGAGAGATGGTGTTGTGGTCGCAATGCCAGAATGTCAGCCTGTTTGGTATGATTGTCTTCTTTTCTGGACTAAGAACTCTATCCAGATGTGGCAGAATGTGTTATTTTTGGCTACTACTATGCATCAAATGCCAGATTTTGCAGAGCGTCATCATCGATGCTTTTGTGCATTTCCAATTATGGGGAAAAAAGGACTTTCCCTTCTAACATTATCCACTCTACATGAGTGTGGTAACAATTTATAGTTATACTATAATTCTGCATTATAGTACATAATTTTTTACACATGATTACTTCAGTTGTTATATAAAATGTACCAAGTACTAAGTCTTAAACGGAGAATTAGTTCAGTGCTTTATCCACAGCTCTGTGGTGTGTTTGTGTTTATAGCAGATCATTTGGTCTCCTAATTTTTATACAATGGGAATTCTATAAATACCTTGAATATGAAGTAACTATCTAGTTAAATAAAACCTTTATTGTGCCTGATTTGTCTAGTGTCCTTAGACCTAGAACACTTTATCCCATGGTCTTCTCTATTCTTGGTGCTATAATGACTTACAAAGGTACAGATGCAAGTTAAACAGTGTATTTTTTTGTCATCAGAAATTTAAAATACGGTTGATTAATGTATTTAATGTTCAACACCAAGATAAATTAACGTTATATCTATGCCAGTAATGTTGCTATATAAAAAATATGTACCAGTGTTCTAGAATTACCTTAGAAATCAATGTATGCTCAAATAATAATTTATTTTATAAGTTCTCCTAAAATAGTTTTCTGTGAATTTGACCTTGTTCTTTCATCATATCTGTAAATAATACTTGTTTCAGGTCTTGTTAGAATGACAGGTGATTCTTAGAATGACTTGGTTCCCAGAATGCTAGCAGGCAGACTTACACCTTATACCATCAGGCAAGAAACTGAAATAGTCTTTCAACATGGAGAGTCTGACTGTCCTAAGAGAAAAGACCTAAAGATATTGACATCAGGGATTTTGCGAAGAAACAGGACAGATCTCACCTTTACGGTGAGGCCCAGAGTTCACAGTCCTTCCTCATGATCACAGTGCTTCTACGAAGGTTTGTGATACCCCCATTTTAATTGTCAGCAGACAGCTAAGAATAACGAGCTTCCTCAGACAGTCTAACAGGAAAGAATAAAGATGCAATAAACAAATAGAAAAAATGCAACTTGGAAGTAATGAAAACTACCCAAAAGAAAGTAATTATTAAAGAGAGATAAAAGAATATACTGTATCCACGAAACAAGAATGTTCTCTATAAACATAAACATTCAAAGAACCAAAAAGAGGAGTTTTTGAAAAATAAATTCCAAAATATAGAATCTGTAAACCATGCTGCCCCTCTCCTTAGCTTCATTCCAGTCCCTGCCCACTTTGACTTCTGTTTTTGATGCTAGAGTGATCTTGGAAAGAGTAAGGGACATTTCTTGTTTTATTGTCTTTTGCTCTGCAACTGATCTGTTCCACAAATATTCAAAGCTTAAGGGTTAAAAAAAAAAAAATACCTTTCTGGTGATGCTTTCAGATAAATTGTTAAGGGTACTAACCAGAAATAGAATTTTAATTAGATTAGGGCGATCTTGTCAGCATACTTTAAGCCTAACATAGCAAAACTGCAAAATATTTTAAGTTAGTATGAACTGAATACTTGCTGAATTTTCTTCATTATCTTTACTTATTGGCCAAGAAAAATATTAATGTTTGTAAGAAACTTCTTATCACCTACGTGATTATCTTTTATTGCATAATCAAAGTTTATCATTTGTATTTCTAAAATAAACTTATCAGCAACACATACCAAAAGTAGACTTGCGTGTTATGTAATATATTGACTTCAAATAACTTATTATTAAAAACTCTTGTTTCTTCATTCAGTTCAGCCATTTAGAAAAAGCTATGACAAAACTCTAAATGACATTAGCACAAGTACTATAAGTGAAAACTCATTTTTTTCTTCAATAATAAACTTGTTATGGGCCTGTTTCTCTTTAATAGGCAAGTTATATAATAATTATCTCTTGTGTCCATAAAACTCTGGCACTAGATATTAAGGCATCCTTCAAGTCAGTGGGAAAATTACATATTTTCTAAAATAATTTCTGTGGAGCAGATTTTCACTGAGTCTACATGGTATGAAGTATGAGAAATAAATCAGAGTTCAAAGAGCAAGTCTATGTCCCTGTCTAGCTGCTAACTAGCTGTGTTCCTTTACCTTGTCAGAGACCTCATGCATCTGCAAATATTGCACTTAACAAGATATTTTGTAAGTTATCCTTCAGTTTTAAAAGTATATGATTTAGCTATATCTAAAAAGCATATATATGAAAACCGAGATCTGAAGCAAATATGGGTATTTTAAATTTGAATAGGAAGTATATGCAGATTCATAATGTTTTTGGTACTTTTCTTTATGTTTGAAATATTTTCTAATTAAAAATTTAAAAAATAGTTAAAATCTTTTTATCTAATTTAGTTATAAAACTATGTAAGTGTGGAAACATATGTCTCTAAAAAATGAAAGTTTCAGAAGGCTCTATTCCATATTTAAATTATGACAAATCTTTCATATATCTCTTTTATATATTAAGGTAAGAGTATTTTTTAGAAATATTAGGAAATTTTTGTAAAAATGTTTCAGATCTTATACAAATTTAAAACCAGCTACTTATAAAGAAAATACAAATTTAAAATCAGCTACATATAAAATTGTAAAAATATATATTACTTTCTCTTCTACCTGACACTTGATCATATATGAATTTGAGTTGAATTTGCAGACCATGCAGACCAAAAACATACATACTTTTCTAAACTAAACTTTCACCTATAATCTGTTTATTTTTGTTTAATGAAAGATGTATTCTATGTTTATAAAAATTTGAGAAAGAACAGGTTAAAAGTAGTATATAAATGTCTATGTATATGCATAATAGTAGCTTTGGATTTATCTGATTGTTTTAGCTACCCTAAAAGTGAGCCAAGAATATGTCATTTCATGTCTTTCCTGTTTTCGAATGCCTTCTAAAATTCAAGGAGTATATACAGTTGGGGTGTGTGTTTGTGTATATAACACACATACATGATAAATCAGTCCTAAATTATATAAGTATATCAGTTAACATTCCTTAATGATATTAACACTTTTAAGTGTATAAACATACATGTTATCACTTAATTAATCTTTTTAAATGTCACTTTTATAAGCCCTTATACAGAGTGTTTATAAGTCTTATATGATAAGACTAAATATATCAGCCGTCTTTGTCTTATTTTTTTCCTCCTTAAAGGCACTGGAGCGGGTTGCAGTTGGCCAAGGGGTAAGTTAAGTGTTTATCTGATTCAGCTGATGAGCATGATGGTTTTCTCCCAAGTACTCCTCGTACTTGACCTGCTGCTGAACTTAAAATCTGATGGATTTTAATAAATATCACCTCTTTTGTCACCCCTTCAAATTTAAACTTACACTCTTTCTATATTTACTTTGAAACATAAGTGAACTTTCAGAAAAAGTAAATTGAACTTAAACTTCCACATTATACTCTTGTACTAATGTCTTATTTCTTCATATTGTACTAAATAGTCTTTAAGAATGCTGTTGCTGACTATCAGACCTTTAATGGCTCAGTTTGCTGACTATCAGACCTTTAATGGCTCAGTTTAAGCAACATAACCGAGGTATATAGCATTCAATTTATTTTTTTAACTATTACCCAAAACACATATTTCAATTGGTGGTTTTTCACTTTTTTCTCATTGACTTGATTAGTTGCAATGACCAAATAGGTTTATACATAGAAACAGAAGTTAAGGGTATCCCCAAAATATCCATATAACTTCCTTATCCTTCACCTTAAGATTCTTCTTGAAACATACTAGGAACTTTTAAAGTTATTTTTAAGAGTGCTTTTTAAATTTTTCACAAGGTTTTTCTTGTTGGACTTAAATTTTAGAAACCTCTCATTTGCTTCTCTACAAGGATCATTAATATGTCAATTTTAATTTTTAAAATTATAATAGCAACAAATATAATTTACTACGTGTTTACTCTGGACCAGACACGATACTAAGAACTTTGTTTTGAAATGTCACCATCTAAAAATTGATAAAAACTGATTTTTAAAAGTCATTAGACATATTGTTTGGACTTGGGCTTTCGTCTCCAACTATTGGTTTGTATTTTGTCTTCATCAGTTGCTCATTTAGTGACCTTGGACACGTGTCATAATTTCTCTGTAGCTTAATTTCTTTTTAAATTTGTAAAATAGGAATAATAACAATAATAGTGGGAATAACAATAATACCTTCCTTGTAGCGTTGTGAGAATTGAATGAAAAGTGTAAAATGTTTAAAACAGTGTCTAGCACATAGTAAGTGCTCAGGAAGTATCAACTGTTGTTGCTTTTATAAGTAATTAGTAATTATGATTATGAAAATAATAGTTAAATCTAATATAGACGTTACCAAAGTAGTGTTCAAAGTTTTCTTCATCAATTGAAGTGTACTACATACACACTACTATGACCTAAGTACTAGTTTTATCCTGTGATACACATGAGAAACCGTTAAGTAGTGGACACTGAGATTTGCATCTCTGACTCTGGAGCCCAGGCCCTGAACTCCGATACTGCATATTAACTTAGTGGTTCCCTGGGAGCCTAGAAGAGGAAAGTGTCTCTATCATAACAATGCCACAGTGCATTTGTGTGGTGGTGTTCAACTTCCCAAGTCCGTGCTCGTGTTTGCAGTCAACCTTATGGATTGGGTATTATGCCAAACACACATAACATGATGCACAGCAGAATTTTAATAGTGCATTCCAGTTCCCTTAATTAATTACAGAATCCTGACTTCCAATTCAGTGCCCTTTCCACAAGGCCTGTAAAATGCATGTCTAATATATATGTACTTGAATGGTACACTCTTTCTGCTTGCTGCCATTTTCACATGCATTAAAGTGTTAAGTTGATTTATCACTTGTGAAGGAAAGGAAGTAAACTCTGAGCCACGTCCAGTTTATTCCTGGAATCGTCAGGCCCAGGCTGCTTAAATGTTGATTCCCTCCCCACTTACCCGCATCTGTATTTACTAGGATAGATAGTCCTAGTTATTCCAGGAATGCACATTTGAAGGTACTTCATTACTCTCTTCCCTTCCTCTTAGGAGACAGCTGTACAGCTCCTACTTACTCAGGGTAACTTGGGGATGATGATTTATTTTATCCTGTTTCTGTTTTTTATGTATCCCATTTCTTATGTTCTTTTGTAAAATGCATTTCTTGGTCTTTTTTGTGGTTTTTCTACAATAGGTTTTATTTTTATTTTTATTTTATTTTTTTATCCTCACCCGAGGACAGTTTTCCATTTTTTGTTCAGACAGAGCAGGAGGGAGAGAGAGGGAGAGAGAGAGAGAGAGAGAAACATCGATGTGAAGGGACACATCGAGTGGCTGCCACCCGCACGACCAACCAGGGCCGGGGACAAATTGCAACCGAGGCACGTGCCCTTAGCGGGAACCGAACCCGGATCTCTCTGTACCGCAGGCCGACGTTCTAACCGCTGAGCCAAACCAGCCAGGGCTATTTTTATTTTTTTATTATTTATTTTTGTTACAGATGTTTCTCCTTTTCACCCCCCCTCCCCCTCAGACACCCTCCTCCCTATCCTGCCCCCCACCAAGCATTGTTGTCTTTTAATAACAATATAAATGTACATTTATTTATAAATTATGTTGATTTTATGTAATTTCAAAAGCATGGGAAAGGAGCGTTTTAACTATTTTAGGAGTTTTATGTAAAAGTCACATAAAATTAAAGTTTCTATCTCTTTTATTCCTAATTAAGTTAAGAATTTTGTAAGCCACTGATAATACTAATACTAATATTTCACTTCATACAATAATATATTTCCAAAAGTGCCTTGAATTTTAATAGAACAGTATAAGAGTAGGTGTTAATATATGATCAGTGATCTCAGCATTTTTTGTAAAAGAACTGAAGGGATTTGGGGGGAAGTGAGAGACAGATGATGAAGTAGAGATTTAGGGTACTCTAGAAATGAATTACTCAGAATGAAATAATATCAAAAGGAAAACATATCCAAAGGTGGGAAATTTTGAATGAAATGTTTTGGAGCATAAATGTTTGGAATATGAAATATTTCAGGAAAGGAACATTGAAAAATCAGAGATTTTTTTCATCTCAAGTCAAGGAGTTGTATTTGGAAAAATATTTTATATAAGAAGTGTGCCTTTTAAAGGTTATAAATTTTAGTGTGGGCACTCAAGTGTGTATGTATGTCTGCTTTCAGTAAGTTATTTTAGGCGTTGAGGTGGAGACTGTGGTATGCTAACACCATTTCCTACTGGAATCCCCCTCCCCATTATTCCCACCATCCAGAAAAGATAGATGTGTTCATTCAGAGTGCTCTATCAAGATCCTGTAAGACAGACACTCCTCGGTGACCTAAGAAGATAGTACTATCAGGCAAAGACCCAAAAAATAATGGTTGACCTTCAACTCTCAATTTGTGGTGTTTGGGGCCTCAGCATCTGGGGCCCACTGTGGAGGAACTTGATATTAGATGGGGGAGAGGGACAAGAGAGTAGGTTTTCTACCTGAGCACACAGGCAAAATTTATTTTGTGCTAAACTCTATCTGAATCCAGACATTTTAGTCGGAAACAGATGAAAATAACCATTTGGGGCTTTGAGGAAAATAAGTTACAAACGGGTAACTTGGTGAATATATACATTTCCCTGAGCTCTTGCCTTAAAAATTTTATCAGTCATTGGACAGTTTTTGGAGTTTTTCTTATTTATCTTCTCAAAAGCATTTAATATTGTTGACCTCCCTCCATTCTTGCTCATGTTTCTTTTTCTTTTTCCCCAGTAATAACTTTTCATGGACACAGGTCATTGTTGCTGATATTATTTTGAGTTTGATTTTCCTATACTCTCAATATTAACAGGTCTTTGGGGTGTATGGGAGTTTGATGAATTTTGTAGTTTCTTGGTTTAAAAGTACCTCTTTCATTGCTACAGTAAAGTACTCTTTTTCTGTGTACAGTTGACACTTGAACAACATGATTTGAACTGTATGGGTCCACTTATATGTGGAATTTTTTTTTTTTCCCAATAAATTCATGTGCTGTTTTCTGTCCACTGTTGGGAGTCGTGGTTGTGGAGGAAGGGACTTGAATGTTCATAGATTTTGTTATCCACACGGGGTCCTGGAACCAATCCCCCTTAGATTACTGAGGCATAACTTAAATTTTGGGGGACTTAAAAGTTATGCACAGCTTTTTGACTGTGCAGAGGTCACCACCCCTAACCCTAGTGTTGTTCCAGGGTCAATTACATAGTAGTCTTTTTACCTCCTTCTTTGAAACTGTTGTGCTTCATTGAGCCCTTGTCTTCATCCATTTCTTCTTTCCTGTGGGGGAACTTTTGCACCTTCATGGACACGTCCCACCTCTTTTTCCCCAGGATGTGAAGCCTTGCCCAGATTTCAGTCTCTGATCCTGTGTCCATTCCAAGGTTCTTTTCAACCCTACAGCAGCCAGTGCTGTGATCTTTTAGACCTCAGACAAATGTGTAGTGTGTCCTTACTTAGAGTAGTACCTTCTCTTTCTGGGTGTTAATCCTAGATGATAGCATCTAATGCACCACCATTAGTACAAACCCACATTCTCTTCTCTTTTGCATATATTCTGTCTGACTTCTCTTTTGTACAGAGTTGACCTGGCTGGTTGTGAAAGTTTATTTCTACATTTCTAACTGAGAAGCACTCCATTTGGGATGTTAGCCCATTTTTCTTTGGTAACATTTTAACTTAGAATGGAAAAATTATAAAATTGTCTCAGGTTTTACAACAAAGGCAGGTTTTTAACACTTGCTTATGGTTCCAACTCTCTTGTGTTGATTTGATTTTTATTTGTTGCTTGTGCTTATATATGTTTAAATTTTTTTTCAGCTGCCTACTGAATCACTCTTCTATCGTGCCGTCCTTCAGGATATTATTAAAGATTGTTATGGCATCACCAGATGGTATGAGGATTTTATTTTAATAAGAATAACTATGCCGTATTGCATGTGAATTAGCTTTTAGTCTTCAGGTGAATTTATTCAGGTGAATTTATACTTTATTGGTAGGAGAAGCTTTGGATTTGAGCATAATTTCAGTAAAAAAAACAAAGAAATATGCAGCAACTTTATCTAGGTTAATCATTATTAATGTGGAGACTCTAATGATTCCTTTTTGTCATCAAAGGTTGTTGTAAAGATAAAATAATATATGTAAATGTACTTTAGAATTTTAGAAGTATTGAAATGTTATATATAAGTAATTCAGTGAGTATAATATTATCATATGAGCAGGTGTTATATTTCAAATGTTTCACAACTACTGCATAATCACTTAACTAATGAGAACAAATATTGATCATAAACAACATTTTGGCCATTTGGGGCTCTAGTGGTTGAATAGTAGCCCTACATTTGTTGTTGTTTCTGTTTTCTCTATAATGCTTTGCTTATACGAAGAGGCAAGGGATAGGAGAATTTTTCCATAATATTGATTCAGTGACTGCTGTACTGAAAAATACATTTGCAATCCTAGCAAGTTTTAGGAATGTCTTTTTTCTAATTATAGTTTTAGTATTTTTATAGCCATCTGGTTGTAATAGGATTATTCTTCAAATTACAATAAGGAAACTTTTAGGTTCTCAAAGACTAATTCACTCATATTAACAAAGATAGAAGCTACTTTGGATTAGCTATTATTTCTCTGAGAAAATTATTTTTTTACTGAATTTACAACACAAATATCTGCATATACTGTTTCAACTGTCATTTCTACATAGATAACTCCCAAATTGGTGTGCCAACCTCCATTCTCTTTTCCATGTATTTACCAAACTTCAAAATGTCTTCAAGTGAATTTCTTACGTTTTCCTGAGGACTAGCTCCTTCTCTTGACCTCACCTCAAGATGCAAACTTTGTTGAAAAAAAAGTCACAAAATTTTGCAGTTGGCTACTCAAATATAGATTACCTGCCTTCTTTTAAGACCTCAAATCTGTTCATAAATTTGTTTCTTAATGATCACTTAAAATCATTGACACTCTTTTCTAAACCTTTATTCTCACTTAAAAATTCAAGTCTCTCCAACCTTTCACATTCCTGCCTTCCTTTACTCAGAAGATAAATGGTATTTGCTATTACTTTTATTCCAGAGCTTCCCTAACCTTTCACCCACATTTGGCCATGTTAGTAATTGTTTTTTTCTTCAAACTCTCTTCCTCATTATCTTCCATTAAGCTGCATTCCTCTAAGTTTCTTTCCCTACTCTGAACACTTATCTATTTTCTTTAAGGGTTTTTCTTCTTAATCATCCGCTAAGTGTATCTAGGCAATCAATGTTTTGTACACAGTTCCCATCTCTTAGCTCTTCATATTTCCTCTTGGCAATTACCCTCGCAACAAATAACTTGAATCTTGTTTCTGGCTCCACCTCTTTTTAGAAGTTCAAATCTACATTTCTCATTTTCATCTGAATAGCTTCTGCTAAGTACCTCACAGATATGTCAGAGTCAGCCACATCCAAAAACCAAAGTGAACTTTCAATCACTTTTATTCCCCTTTTTTCCTGCTCTCTTGACTTTTGTCATTTCTGGGAACAGCATGACCATTATTCACCTTTAGAAATCTTAAAATAATATTTGATTCTATTCTTTTCTCACCATCAAACCACATATTCTAGTTACTTGCGGAGACTTGCGCATGTTAATTTTTTTAGCCTAGTAGTTGTTTATTGTGTGACAGGCGGCCTGCTAGGTTCTGGATGCATAGGAGACAGTTTCCACACAGCAGTATTTTATATTCTAGGTGGCTGACATGTGCAGAAGTAAAGAAAATGATAGAAACCCACTTCCAATAACAGCCGGCTGCATAATTAGGACCAAACCTTCTAGTGAGAAAAACTAAAAACATTGGCAATATGTGCATGTACATGTGTGTATGGTATGTGTGCACGTGTATGAGTGTATTTAAATGTGTTTCAGAATGATTTGAAACATCAGAGACTGATCAAGGATGTTTAAATTACAAGGCAAATATCTAGAAGAAGATGGAAATCAAGAGAAATGAACTCAGCGCTTAGGGCTGCATTTTTCCAGAGGCATCTGCCAGTTCTTGAATAAGCAGCTGTTTTCCAGTCAACAGAGTGGGCAGAGAGAAGGTCATCGTAGCTTTTAATAGAATAACAGTTCTTTTGAGACAAAAGAGTTCATGGCCTACCTAGGATGAGGACCTATAAGTCCAGGTAAACCACTCATATTTAAGTTAGGTCTTTGAAGGTTCACACTGTATAAGTGAGGGTCAGCTAGTAATCAGATAGTCCTAAAATGGACTAGAGTCCCACTTGGAATCATCTTAAACTGGGATTAAAGTATTTTATTTTATTTCTCCTTTTTTAAATTTTTAAATACTAGTTCACATTCAATATTATTTTATATTTATTTCAGGTGTACAGCATAGTGGATAGTTATTTATGTAATTTATAAAGTGATCTCCCTGATAAGTCTAGTACCCACCTAGCACCATACATAGTTATTACAATATTACTATATTCCCTATGCTTTATACACCTATTACTATTTTGTAATTACCAATTTGCACTGTTTAATTCTTTCACCATTTTCATCTAGCCCCCTCCCATCTTGCAACCATCAGCTTATTCTCTGTATCTATGTTTCTGTTTTGTCTGTTTATATATTTCGTTCTTTTTTAATCCTCACCTGAGGACATTTTTTCTATTTTTTGTTCAGATAGAGTGGGAGGGAGAGAGAGGAAGAGAAAGAGAGAGAGAAACATCAACGTGAAAGGGACACATCGAGTAGCTACCAACCGCACAACTCAACCAGGGCTGGGGACAAACTGCAACCGAGGTACATGCCCTTAGCGAGAACCGAACCCGGGTCTTTCTGGACCGCAGGCTGACGCTCTAACCGCTGAGGCAAACTGGCCAGGGCTATATTTTGTTCCTTCGATTCTACATATAAGTGAAATCATGTGGTATTTGTCTTTCTCTGCCTTGCTTATTTTACTTTGCATGATACCCTCTAGGTACATCCATGTTGTCATAAATGATAACATTTCATTCTTTGTAGGGCCAAGTAATATTCCATTGTGTGTGTGTGTGTGCGCGCGCGCGCGCGTGTGTGTATCACATCTTCTGTATCCAGTTGTCTATTGATGGGCACCCAGGTTGCTTCCATATCTTGACTATTATAAATAACAATAATAAACATAGGGGTACATATATCTATTTAAATTAGTGTTTTGGATTTCTTTAGATAAATACCCAGAAGTGGAATTACTAGGTCATAAGGTAGTTCTGTTTTTAATTCTTTGAGGAGCCTCCATACTGTTTTCCATAATGACTGCACCAGTTTGCATTCTCACCAACAATGCAAGCAGGTTCCCCTTTCTCCACATCCTTGCCAACATCTGTTTGTTGATTTATTGATGATAACTATTCTGATTGGTGTGAGATGTGATATTTCATTGTGATTTTAATTTTCATTTCTCTAATGATTAATGATGTTGAGCATCTTTTTATTTATCTGTTGGCCATTTGAATGCCCTCTTTGGAGAAATGTCTATTCAGGTCCTCTGCCCATTTTTTAATTGGACTGATTAGTTTTCTGGTGTTAAGTTGTATGAGTTCTTTATAAATTTTTGATATTAACCCTTTATCAAATATATCATTGGTGAATATCTTCTCCCAATCAGTAGGTTTTATTTATGTTTTGTTGGAGGTTTTCTTTGCTGTGCAAAAATTTTTTAGTTTGATGTATACAAGAATAAACTAAAAATGGCTGAGTGTCTCAGCTGGTTGAAGGATCATTCGTACACCAAAAGGTTGCTGGTTTAGTCCCTGATCAGCATGCATATGGGAGGCAACTGATTGATGTCTCTGTCTCTCCCCCCTCCCCTCTTCCTCTCTCTCTAAAAAGTCAGTAAAAATATATCCTTAGGTAAGGATTAAAAAAAATGTATTAAAGACCTAAATGTGAGCCCTGAAACCATAAATCTTGTAGAAGACATGGGCAATAATATCTCTGACATTGTTCTTGGTAATATTTTTTTCTGCTATATCTCCTTGGGCAAGGGGAATAAAATAAAGAATAAACAAATGTGACTAAGGCAACCAACTGACCGGGAGAATATATTTGCAAATGATATATCTGATAAGGGGTTGACATCCAAAATATATAAGAAACTCATACAACTCAATAGCAAAGAAATTAGCAGTTCGATTGAAAATGGGCAGAGGACTTGAAAAGACATTTCTCCAAAGAAGACATACAGATGGCCAACGGACATATGAAAAGATGCTCAACATCACTAAGCATCAGGGAAATGCGAAACAAAACCACACACACACACACAAACCACAATAAAATATTACCTTACACCCGTTAGAATGGCTATTGTCAAAAAGTCAACAAATAACATGTTGGTGAGAATGTGGAGAAAAGGAAACCCTTGTGCACTGTTGGTGGGACTGCAGACTGGTTGACCCCTATGGAAAGTAGTATGGAGATTCTCAAAAAACTAAAATTAAATGTACCATATGACCCAGCAATTGCCCTTCTGGGTATTTATCCTAAGAAAACAAAAACACTAATTAAAAAAGATATATGCACCCCTATGTTTATTACAGCATTATTTATAATAGCTAAGATATGGAAGCAACCTTAGTGCCCATTGATAGATGAATGGATCAAGAAGATGTGATAAGTGTATGTGTGTGTGTGTGTGTGTGTGTGTGTGTGTGTAATGATAGAATATTACACAGCAATAAAAAAGAAGGAAATATTTCCATTTGCGATAACATGGACGGATCTAGAGTGAAATAAGCCAGTCAGGGAAAGACAAATATCATGTGATTTCACTTCTATGTGGAATCTAAAAATGAAGTTAAGCAAACAAAAGAGAAACAGACTCATAGAAACAAAGACTAAAGGGATGGATACCAGGATG